TAGTTGTGTGTATGTTATCTAGGTTATCTAGTCTCCATTCTCCGACAAATTCTAGATTACCCTTAATTTAAATATTTATTTAGTGTTTCACGTTCGCAATTTCCACCTTACAACAGATCAGACAATAATTGTTGTTCACAAAAAGCTTACAGCAAATGATGCTACATGTAAATAGCTAATAGATAACTTTTTCTTTAAAAGTACAACTTTTAAATCTTATGGAAACTCCCTTTTCCCTCTTGGAAAATACTTTTATGGTAAAATTATCATCTGCAGTAATACAAGCGTTCTTGATTATCTGCATCAAATTATTTTTCATCAACAATTTTAGACTTTCAAAACTATTCCAAGCTTATCAACTTTCACCGTGACCTCCCTGTCCCTTTTTCCAAATAAAAGCCCACAATATTATTGCTTTCCTTTTATTAAACACTAAATTGTTACAAAGAAACCTGATTTTAGCTGCTGAGTACACATGATTGTTACGCGCAGAAACAAGGCTCATTTTGTTGAATAAAAAGAAAAAAAAACAAAATAAGTGGGAGACTCTTATGGTTGAATAAAAAGAAAAGTATCTACAGTATCGTACAAATTTGTCAGAGACCCAGGCTACACTGAATTTATCATCTAAACTCATATAAGAAGTGTGCAGGCTCATCTGATAGTGATCAACTTAGTTTGTGTTTAATTTTTATATGTTGACGACATAATCTTTCAATCAGTTTTATTGAGGTTTGGAGCTGCAATGGGAGTAACTGGTAGTAGTCCCTTGTTCATTTATGTATCATTGTTATGTTGCTTTGTTCCTTTAATTACCTATTCTGACATTTATTCAAAACTAAATTTCACTGTGCGTATTGCTGTGTGTTTGTTTTTTCTACATTGCCTAGAGGTATAGGAGGGTTGAGATCTCACAAAATATGTTTAACTCCGCCGCATGTTTGCGCCTGTCCCAAGTCAGGAACCTCTGGCCTTTGTGAGTCATTTGTTTTTTTGTTTTTTTTTTTTGTTTTTTTTTTTTGTTTTATTTAAGTTCATTTATATGTAAGGGAGTTTAGTTTGGGCAAGCTGAAGTCCGCCCTCGGGTGCAGGATTTTCTCACTGTTTTGAAGTCTTAATTGGTGGCCGTCGGCTTTTTCCTGCTCTTCGGTCGGATTGTTGTCTCTTACACATTCCCGTTTTCTAGTCTCGATTTTTCTATATAAAATGTTATGCTCTACATTTTTATACAAAGCATTTCACATTTTGATTTTTCGCGTCATTGTTGAATGTCGTACGATGACATATAGTTGTTTTCACCTACTTCATTCGGTTTCTGATAGAAATTTTTCCATTGGCACGCATACCACATACACATATGTATATAGTTATTGGATATTTTACACTGTCTATTAATGGTCATGCAAAAGAATCGTAATCCTGCAAATCATATACGCATTTTCTTATCTCAAAAAGGGGCAAGAGGGGCTTCATTCACTGGTCAATAATCTTTATCAATCAGATAACAGTAAATCTAAAATAGTGATAACCGATAACAGCATTTAAAATAATCTTAAATGAGAAAACAGAAAATAGTGAATTCAAAAATCAAAAATCAAAAACAGTAAACAGGGGTCATTCTTTTCATTATAACAGTTCACAACAATGTCAATTGTAAGAAAACAGATAACAGCTAAATAGTCGATATCAGTTAACAGCACTTATGTCTTCCTAATAATAGTTATCAACAGTTTTAAAATGCCTAAAACACCTCAACAGAAAAGATCTTGCACCCCCTCGCAAAAATTAAATTAAATCAAAATAGATTCAACTGTTTTTATATGAAATATTCACTAAATATATGCTATGTATAGTTTCTATCAATTTCACGAATTTGCTGCATCAATGATCTTACTATTTGCCCCTTCAAACTAAAATATAAAAGAACAGAACCAGGACATAGGTACAAGTACGTTATCAGGACAATTTCGTTTGGCGAATTTGCACGACTATTGCAACAAAAAATCGTTGTAATATTTTCGCATCAGATCGAATAGAATTAAGCAACAGAACGGTCGTTTTATTGCCGTTCTGAGACAATGCTAACAAACACACCAGCACGAAACCAGGACCCACCAGCACCAGCAATGACAGAATCACCAGCACATAACGTTTTCTCGCATGAAAACCTTACCCACCGTGGGAATACGACATTAAGAATTTTATATTTATTGGAATATATATTTAATGTCCGTTAGCATTGTATCATTTATCGTTTTTAATTTATAAAAAGGCAGATCACGGAGAAAATTGTATAACAAGCTAAGTTTATGCATACTTTATTTACAAATATATGTATTTAATCTATATTGTTTATATCAAGAAAAAAGACATTTAAAAATAATTTTTTAAAAATCGATGTAGAGCGGTCCTGGTTACAAGTTAATTTAGTGTTGAACAGATCAGCCAAAAGTTAACTTCGGACCAGGTCTTGTTGGATTGAAGTTGTCAAAATCGAAGTTAACGTAGGGCTGGACTTGTTTCGAAGTTAACTTATAATAATAACGGACCTGTATCCAAGTTAACTTTTTCGTCATTCATAGATACAGTCTTAGAACCAAGTCCGCTTTAAAAATTCACCTGATTGTACATTTGATCCTAGTACTGGTCGGAGCAGTCCTTAATCCTATCTCAGGTTAACTTTGACCAGACTGGTTAGCAAGTTAAAGAACATTGAGGACCGAAATTCCTAAAACTATTGCCAAATTCAGCTAAGGTAATCAATTACTGCGGTCGAAAAGCCTTAGTAATTCAGGAATTCTAAGTTTTATAAAAAGTTAATTTATGATTATGACAATATCAATGATGATACTCTCGGGGAATAAAAACTCCACCAGCAGTGACATCGAACCAGTTGTTTTAAGAAAACTCATCATATATACCAGGATTGAAATTTAGTATTAGCGTCAGACGCGCGTTTCGTATACAGAAGACTCATATGTGACGTTTAAATAAACAAAAATTGTAAGGCCAAATAAAGTACGATGTTGAACAGCATTTGGGACCAAAATTTCGACAAGTTTTGCAAAATACAGCTGAGATAATCTATTCCTGAGACAGAAAAGCCTTAGTATTTCAAGAATTTAAAGTTAAGTAAACAGAAAATTTATGATTATAACCATATCAATGATGATACACTCGGAGAATAAAAACTCCACCAGCAGTGACATCGACCGAGTGGTTGTTAATAAACTCATCATAGATACCAGCACTTTCGTGTTAACATGAATTATCATTGATATGGTCAAATTTAAAAATTAACTGTTTACAAAACATTGAATTGTTTGAAAAACTACGGATTCTTCTTTAATATACGGAGAATTGTATTGTGTAAAATGCATACGTAAATTACGAAACATTATCCATTTCTATAAAATTTCTAATGTCACAGCTCAGGAGATTGAAAGTAGCCTTATTCAAATAATAATTTATTATTGTCTATATGGTTTTCTTTTATCGTGTTTTTGTTATGGATTTTCGGTTGGTTGATTTTTTCTGTTTGTTTGCTTTTGATTAAAAAAAAAAAAAAACAAACGGGGAAGGTTTGTATGTAGGTTGATATGTTTATTTGTTTTTTTTTTCTTTTTCACCACAATTATTTTGAATATTATTATGAATTTCATACATATGTGTACATATTATGGTCAAGTCTAGAAAAACACTGCGGCTGGTTTTAATGTGTTTTTCTGAAGACAACAACCATTAGGGGTCAATACGTCAACATATTTAAATTAAACCATTGTCATCTGTATGTTTATACGACTACCTGTAATGGCACTATTTCCTTAATTGTGATAGTCTAAATGCAGACATTAGAAAATTGAAGAGCTAATTTGTTCAATCTTGTACCAATATTAAAAGCAAACTTATTGTGTCACATGAACAAAAGACCGTGTTAAAACTTATTCCTATCCATCCAACATCGATTTTTTCTCATTTTGGGCTTATATGATTTTTCAGGTAAGAAATCTAACCGAAACCACACATAATGTTATTCCTTCGCCACGTGCGATTCTTCAGAAGAAAAAAAACTATAACTTTAATACACCCGTCCATCTGAGGTTAATTCACTATCTGACAGGTGGTTTTTGGTTTGTTTGTTACCGAACTATTGACACATAACTTGTCGTCACACTGTACATTCTGACAAACTACTTTCTTGTAAGAATTGACATATTTTTCCTTCTCAACGATCAAAGCATAATGATTTTCATAGTTTGTTTTATGTTGTACTGTAACATCATTTTTTCCCAGGTTATTTTGTGCATAAATTCGGCAATCAGTTTTTTCGTTTGAATTGTTTTACATTTGTCTTTTCGATGCCTTTTATAGCTGACTATGCGGTATGGGATTTGCTAATTGTTGAAAGCCGTACGGTGAGCTATAGTAGTTAACTTCTCTGTAATTTGGTCTCTTGTGAAGGGTTGTCTCATCGGCAATTAAACCACATCTTCTTTTTTATATCAACAAATGGAAACAAACGTAGATAATAATCGGTTTGATGTTGAAGTCAATAATGAGAAAATGAAAGTACATGAGTAATATAGCGTTACGTTGCTGAACATATACTTTTACAACACGTGGTGTCGACAAATACCTTAACAAATCAAATAAGTAAATTTTTATTTTTTTTTTAGTTGAAAAGGACTATGTGAACGGGTAAAACTATAGAAATGCACATTTTTGCGATACTCTGTGACTATATATGATTATATTAAAATTTCTTTATCAACACAACATCAATAGTTAATGCTACATGTTTATACGGTTATAAGTGTAACACATGTTCATGAATATGCAACATTTCCATCAATATTATAAATTGAAGTATACATTACTACACTCGAGCAAAATTAGGAAAACAAGCTCTTCATTAACATTAACAACAGAGAAAATGATAAGCAACACGAATATCAATGTGTAGTATCATATAGTTTCGGCAATGGAAAACAAATGCTGACTGACTGTGTTGGTCCTGTACATTATGTATCTAGTAATAAGTCACATATAGTAATAGGTTTTAAACAAAGAAAACAGGAAAACGACAATGATAATAATGTAGTTTAATTAATTGTCGTGAGTACAATTCTTCTTGGATTGTGGAAAAAAATGCGTGCATGTTTAATTTCATTGTTTTACTAACATTTGAATACATGCCAGCAGAAATGTTTCACTTTGTAATTTTCCTTTATCCATGAAATCAGTGAGAATTAGTATCATACGAATAATTCACATTATATTTATAGTGGTAATTTGTTTGGGCTGATTCGTATAGAAAGTTAACCAATGCAGAATATACAATAAGAGAAATAACGATACAATTTTAAAAATGAAGGAACGTCCTAGTTGTCATGATAACCTTCTAATTCATCACCCTGCAAGGGAATATATACGTAGAATTCAAATAATGTTCTTCTTTCACCATAAATCATTATCACTATTGTGGGTTAGGTGGGTCTGGTGGTGGTAGAGGAACCCATACTGTTGGCTTGTCTTGGAAGAACATACTCAAATCAACACACATCTGTTCTTCATCTACAAGAAACAGAACATTATATAACGATGAATTTTATTTGAAATGCAAATAATATCTGAATTGTTATCCTACTGACAAATGTTGTCTTTTGATAAATGATATAGGAAATGTTTTTATGAAATGATCTATCAGGAAATATGCAGATGAAAATAATCGTATAGCATCTGATGCTACTCGTGCATTGATAGATGCAGCAGCAACAAACTTAATATTGAATTGTATAAGGATAAATTCATCTTTTTATTTCGAAATATTGAAACTGTAATTTAGACAACTGAATATATAAATCATGGAACAGACATTAACACCTTTTTCAAATCATCAATCCTTTTATAATATTTCAAAGGACGTTATACACCTACTTGAACAACCGATGCATTAATAATAAAGGAACATGATAATACGTTTTATCCGTCAATCCTTTCTACTATACTTATACAGGTGTTCAAATAAAGCGAAGCGATAAATGTATACTTGACGTTTATAGTCTCTTGGTCTGCTGCTTCTTTTTTTGCGATTGAACAGTTATGTCAAAATACTTTTGACATCACAGTTCAATTTGGTGTCTGCATTTAAGATTTCATGCAATGGGAAAACAATTTACAAAATTAATTGCAGAATAAAGGCAATAACGGTTTAGTGTCTTTAAATACCAGCATATTTGTACTCGGCTCGAAACAGGAGTATTAGCTCGTTGAAGCTCGCATAACACCTGTTTTCTTGGCCTCGTACAGCTGATATTTAAAGATACAAAAACGTTATTGTCTATTTCAATCGTAATAAATATATAATTGTTATCAATTGTCGTATGACATTGACACTTTTTTGGTCTTCAATTTTGTTGAATGTATTTCGTTGTTATCTTTGTCTGATATCAACAAAAACCATTGCTTAATAAATAAACTTCGCTCTTTGTTTAAAACATGTTCATATCATAAAAAGGTAAAAATAATCTCAAATACTAAATCACATAGCTTTGTATAAAACTGGTGGATGGGTACAGTCTTACAGTTCTTGCAATCTTAGCCGTTACTGTGTAACGTGAACTTGACTAATCGATGAATGATAGATTACGCATGTTTCACTGGTCGATGACTGATCGGTGATTGCAGACCCATAAAATCTATCAGATACGTTAAATAAGCTATGTGAGAGTTACCGTGACTGCGGTCAGCGATCGATTAGTAAATCAGTTATATGCACAGATCGGGTGGATACGTATATAATTAAAATTCTTATGTAACACGAAATCAATAGTATTTATTTGCAGTAAGCACGAACCTCTACGAAGACACTTTTACTCGTTTTTTACACGAGTTTACTTTGAGTAGACAGTATGACTGCTTTTCAAGTTGGCAATTGACATTTTGTGCAGAAACGCATGTTAACTTTCTCGGCCCAGATCTTATCTCTACGTCCTTTTTTATCGATATTATTATAACTGAGTATTTAATCTTACAAGTGCGAATTTAATATTTTATATTCAACAAGCATTAAAAAGTTGTATATGTATTAAAATATCTAATGTTCCAAATCTGTTCATCGTTTAGCAGTGAACCACAATATGTTTTTCTATCTAATGAAAAAAGTTCAAAAGATTAATTGGAACTAGGCCAGAAAAAAGATTTAGAACAGTGTTGGTTCAATCATAGTTTTCCAGATCGGAGTTCACTAATCAAGGACTGGTTTGGTATCTATCTTCATTCATTTCAATAGCACCCCTAGAGTTGTCTAGAATTAACTAGTACGGCAGTCAGAAAAACAGCATTAGGAATCTTATTTTCCCATTGACACAACTTGATATTTCGACATATGCTTTTTCATGAAATGTCCACAACAGTTTGCTGTTAGATATCCAAAAAAGGTTAAGGGGTTAAATAATGAGTTATTGAACTGACTCCTTCCAGGTCATATCTCCCAATGCAAAGATGACCATGGACGGGGTTTGATTTATGTTCCAGATTAACGGTATTATATCTTACAAACGTTTTGTTGATTTTTCCCTTTTCACATATGATTACGTATCATTTATTTCTAGCAACAGTTTGACAATGACTTATACGTCTTATATCGAACATTAGAATATTCCTCACCCTACCGAAATGTCTCCATGTTTTTCCAGTGGTCATTTGTGTTTGTGTGGTTTATTACTGTTAGATATAAATTTTGATACATTATTATCTAATTTTCATATAGCAAATGTGGAATGGTCCATTGTAAGACGCGTTTGCGACAGGATCTTCCAATTATGTTCAGGTTTTCATCACCTTCGATTCCTTTGAAACGTTTAGTTACAGACATGAACAGTTTCATAGAAATAGACCAATTAATAGATGATATTAGTTATAAATGCACATTTGAGCGCTTCAATTCTAAGAAGTAAGCACATGAACTCAAAATTAAAGGAGCATTTTATCTTAATATTCCCTTGTCTCGCAACATCAATTTTTACATTTTTGTATGTTATATTGTATCTTTTCCTTATCTTCTGGGGTTGATTTTAACAGGCAATGAATGGTGTCAATATAACGACAATCGGCTTACACATTGTATGATCACAATATACATTCGCTATATTATGTTTTTTTTTCTGAAATCCAAATACCAACCTAGGGTATAAATATTAAAACATCGTTGTGGTACACCTTCATTTGTAATTGTTATGTTAGTTTTAATTGTTATTACTGTTCTGTGCATAAAACCCCCAGTCTATAATGGTAACGTGTTATGTTATTGTTATATTAGTATATTATTGAAAATCCAAGTTTTGGATAATACAATAACAATTTTCTTTTGAAAGGATGCACCTCTGTTAATATAGACAATACAATTTCCTATAAAAACTCCATTGACAGCTAAAACTGTGCCACTTTTACTGTAAAGTCTCGTAACAAATTATATCCTAGAATAGAAAGTTGAGATGCATTACTATTTTATTCAAATGTCATAACATAGGGCTTAGCGGCATATTTTTAAGGTTTATATGGCCCGAACTTCTAAGAGTTTAAACCTATACTAAATGTCAATAGTACCCCTTCTTCCATGGCATGTTGTGTGAAACAGCTGTATTAACAAAGTGCAACCTACATGTATATCTGTGTCATAAAATTATATCAAAATACTCCAAGGCAAAATCAAAAGGGGGAGGTCTGTTAGCACTGATAAAATCAAACGCTATCAAGCAATGGAAAAAGTGAAATAACGCATTTTATTCCTGACTTAGTAAATGCATTTTCCGAGAGAAAGAAATGATGGGTTAACCCTTATTTTATAACTAACTAAAGCTCCGACTCGTATGAAAACTGTATATAATTCCGTGTTTTAAAATGTCAATTTGTGATGTTACCTCTTGATTGATTTTGTATTACTCCATCTGCAATACTGGAAGGAGGCACGTTATAATAATCGGCACCATTAATCTTCATGTAATATTCATCTTAAAAGTATACAAATCTGTATTTATTGAAGTAACAAATAATAAACTATTTAATACTTCAGTACATTCATTATGGAACATACAGTTCACGGCAATTCATTGATAATGGCTTTTACATTATATAAAGTTTAACATGTTTAACACAGTAAGCAAGAAGATGTTATTTATTTTATAACGTCCATATTACAATCTTCATCTCAGTAGTCGGTACTTTTTTACTGACACTTTCTTAACAAAACTTTCTGAATTGTCCGTTTATGAATTTTAAAACTATATAGAAAACAAATGTTTCTACTCCCTTAGTACAAATAGTATTTATGGAAGAAATTCATAACAATGAAGTAGTACAACTTTGAATGAAAAACACAGTTGACCTTAGATACGTTTGTATTTGTATGTCCTTCTTTGTTATATAACTCTTTAAAGGTTTCGGTTCTGGAACATCATTTGCTCTAAAGTTTTCGGCTTTGAGCCTTCCTGATGAAGGGAAATTCTGAAAAATGTTTTAGGTGCATAAAATTATAAACGCGTTGTTTTCGTTTTATTTTGTCACAGGTTACGATCTTTGTCTGTGATTGTTGTTTTTTTTGATAATTATATAATACATAAATATATATATATATATATACTTAATACACATATATACAGCTCATTAAAAGACGAATCGGAATTGACTTGATAGTATTATTAACACGTTTGATTCAACTACATATTGTGTTATTCTTACTTCTAGCAGCCAGCAGCTTTTAAATTTTGTTGATCGGTCTTCACTTAAAAGAGAGGCGGAAGATACAAAACGAATTTGTCAAAATCGTTAGTCCAAAACAAACTGGCAATGCCATAGCAAAAAACGAAAAAAAAAAAAAAGACAAAAATAGAAAACTTAAGTCTGAGTAATAATATTTGAAAACAATTAGCAGTAATGATCAAATATAACTATCAAACTATAATTAGGTAAAGCAAAATAATTAACGACTCCTGGTCAATAAATTGCGAACCAGAGTGATTTTTTGAACGCACAAATTGTGTCTCTGAACCTTTATTAAATACGATATTATTGAACTGATCAACTTTTCCTTGATTACTTGTGCATTTCTGAGAAAGCCTGTGATATCTTCGACATATGAACATTTTTCTGTTAGAAGTTCAGATTTTTTTTAAGATTGTTTGGGCTTCTAGTTATCTGATATTCAGCTTATCAAATTATTTTGACAGAGACCATTGGTGCAATAATTACCTATGTTACTACTCCAAGTATAGAGGAACTGTTGTTCCCGGCGTTTTTGAAGATCAACATTTTCTAAATCTATATCAAATAATAAAAAAAAAACGTTTATTCAATTATAGTTTTAGAACAGATGTTTAAAAATGACATACGTTGGTTTTTTTTTTTATTGATAATATATAGACATTTTTATTTCGGAAGATTAATTATGGTTAAAGGGGCAAAAAGCTACGAGATATAAGAAGAATGATATTTGATTTTCTTTTTGTTGAATCAATAACTAAAATAAAATAGTGAAATGATGATTCGTTTTTAGCAGCCATGTGATCATCAATTTAACACCTTAGTTGAAGATTGGTAACAAATATATTAAGCTATTAAAAGAAAATGAATGTCAACATTGAAAGTGATACGTGTAATCATGGTAATAGTGATGATCAATATAACATGTATAATTTTTTAACATAGGAAATCAAACCGACCTAGTAAAATCCAATTGCACGTGTTTGCTATTTATTCATATTTAGTTTGGGTTATACGACCATTGGCAGTCTTCGGGTATCATCGTGGTGGCTAATTATATGACGTCTAGAAAAAAAAAAAATAAACACGAAATGCTGATTCATTTGTCTTCAAAGAAATCGGTAATTATGTCATTGCTTATAAATTCAGAAAAGCACTTTCCTGCTTAAGGCATTTTACTTGAGTCAATAAAAAAAGAAGCGCAAATTTGTATACAGTTAAACACATGTGAAAAATGAGTTTTATAACTTTGTAATGTATATTTTATCATGAGATTAATGTTATCTATTTGTCATCGTTAATATGTTTTTGTGTTGTTGTTTTTTAAGGCGGTACCAAACGCCTCGACAAAAAATTGATTTGGCTTTTAAAATTTTCATAAAAATTTGACAAAATATTTATTTTGACCCTTTGACTAAAATATAAAAATTTCAAAACACTTGTACCACACACTTTATAGGAAAGATTTCATTAAGGAAGTTTGCTTCTCTTGTTTTTGACTTTTTGACAGATTTTTGGAATCCTCTAGTTTTATCCATGTATTGCCATTAAAAAAAATTACCCGCTAACCCCTACTTCTATTTTCATATTTTTATAACATATAGTTTAAAAAGCGATATTTGAAAATCTTATAAAATCCTTGTTATTTTTCGTAGTTTTTTAAACAAAAAATGCGGCCATTGTTAAAGTATAAAGAATCTAGAGAGAATCGTTTCCCGCCAAATTTTCAATGGCTTATATCTCGAAAACAAGCACACGGACCTTTTAACTTTTTTCTGCTGTTTTAGTTCCTTTATTTATATACTATCATTATAGAACATTCTTATAAAAAGCTAGTTATTTTGAAACATAAAAGCGAACATCTTAAATATAAAGCAGTTTGATAAACACTAATTTCGATCATTGAGAAGCTTAATATATATTCTTAATAATAGCATGTTATTTAAACGTTCAGCTGATATTTACAGAGTTATCTGCCTGTAGTGTTATGTACCGCCTTAAGTAAATAAAAAACCTGAAATTAGCATCCTTCTAATAATGGTTTATGTTAAAATTTATATAAGATATGTTTAATAGGAATAAGAAACATGTAGTGATGCTAGAAATTATGGCTTTCATCAATTAAACGTGTCTGGTAACATTTAAAGACTTATGCATAAATCGTTAAATTGTCAAACTATTCAATTAATAAAATTGTAAAAAAATAATGCCTTTATGATAAATTTGTTGAATCATTCGAAAACTGTGCAGATTATGTACCAGTACAAACGATATGGACTTTTTTTTTAAGTTTACTGGTTCTCTAACTATAAATTTTATGCTTAATCGAGCAACACATTTACCTTTGAATTGCTACCCAACAATCACTTTTGTTCATAACTTAATTAATTGAAGAAAGAAAAAGAGTAATGGAAATAGAATTACCGGAGGTAAATTGTCGGTATCGTTCCCATTGCTGGTCCGTTTTGTCTCTCTCTGATATTGGTTACATGAAATATAAAACAAAAGATTATGTTGGTTAACAAAAGTAAACGATTTTATCTTTATGTGGTGCTGTATTCTATATTCACAGTTATACAAAAGATTTGTTGCATATATTAGCTGATAAAAATACCTGAGGCCATCTCCCATAATATACAATTGAAGAAGACAATGACTTGAGGTCATCTTCCTTTGTTTGTGATAATTGACACACATCTTCCTTAGTCTATACTATTTGCATGTAGGGACCCCTTTGTATATGAATAAATACAAAATGACCATGTATGTCTATTTCAAACATATTTCATTCTGGATGTCTAAAATTGAACATTTAGAATTGCTCCATAATTCAAAATTTTCGTATATCTTGGAAAAAATAATAATAGAAAATACTAAATTGTTCTTATATCGATATTAACTGTAAGATTGAACAATTTTGTACCAGTTACAATTCCTTTCAGAATTCTTTACATTGATACACAAATTGACAAAAGAATAATTGAACATTTTTCAGGACATTGTTTAGAAAAAAAAATATTCAAACAAACGGCTTTTTCCATTTTTCTTTGAGGAAGGAAAGCTTCCATTTATGTCCATTACAACATTCTTAATAATGCTTTGAAATTGAAACTTGAAATGCTATGATAAGCATCACATTACAATGTAACTGTTTCAATTTTCAACTGAAAAATATAACACTCAAAAGTACAGCAGTTTTTCTATTTGTAAATTTCTCGAAAAGAATAGACATGTTGACCCCAAATGAACAAACACCTGCGATTCTAGTAAAAAGTTTTTCATTGGAATCATACCTCTAAAAGGATTGTCAAGCCAATCTTTGGTCAGTTTTACCTGAGAGTTACTTCATCGTTTTCTTATAAACAATGAATAGAAATGTTTCATTGTGTACTCATCAGGTTAATTTCAATAAGTTTTTGGAAGGTTACTTTAAGATAGTAGAATATTGAAATATAGAAAAACATCGAAAAAAAATTCTAGCCACATACTTTTACCAATAAATTTGTATCAAATGAATCTAAACTTTTATGCAAACCATCTATATGTCATTTCAAAGTTGCCATCACCAAGCTATGCATATAAAAAAATTTACAAACTGTTGGCGAAAATTGTACATTCTTGATGTACTTTCTCGCATTGAGTTGTATAGTTTGTTATTTCGTAAATTTTAACTCATGCATTTTTCCTATAATTATAAAACAGCTTTATATATGGTTTACAAATTTGGTTGTGTGTCTGGTTTTTTTTTTTTTTTTGGGGGGGGGGGGGGGGGGGGTGAGTTTATTTTTTTTATTTTTTTATTTCTACTAGACTTGTTTTAGGGAGATTAACTGGGTGGGCATCTTATCACCTTGTAGAACTATGCATAATGTTAGTGTATTGACCTCTAAAAGTCCGCCTCCATTTTGGCCTTGGTGCCTCCTTTTTGGAAATCCACGATCCGTACCTAGTCTTTCGGTTTATCTTTGTCGCGTATTGCTGGTTCATTTGCGTATAATAATTAACTCATTGTAGTTATACAGTTCAAATTTGATGTCCTTCATGATGAATCTTAACGTATAGGTTTTTTTTTAATGTTTTATTTTCTAAAACGATGAAATTTTTCACTCTGTCTTCTATGTCGTACTTGTACGGTTATGGTATTTTTGAACTGTGTTATAGCAAAAACACACATCGGTTGAGCAGTACCCAACTATAGCAAAGTAGGAACTGAGATAGTTAGCGCACGTCATGTGTTAAATTCAGGTAAACATGTGTGACCATCGATAAACGGAATGCAAAGTAGGAAGTTCACATACACATTTTTAATGTCCATCCCAAAATACTTAAGCACACTAACAAGGTATATATATGTTTCTCATTAAATAGAAAATACAACATAATAAATACTAATAAAGATGCAGTAGGAAACATACCTTTCGACTTCCGGATACGATATCTTCCATGCACACAAATTGCCAGAATGATAACTGTAGATATTGAAACTATCAACAAACATATCAGTAGTGTTATGCTTCTCGAATCAAAATTGTGCATGGCCGGTCTAAGTGGCAATGGTCTAGAAAGCAAACATTGATACATGTTTATATACAATTGCAGACTGAAAATGAAATAACTAAATACTGACTCATTTAAAAAAATCGGCAACTAAATGATTTTCTATCTATTCAAATAACAACATGACAATAACACGTTATGATAGAAATTCAAGCCGAGAACCAATTATATTTACTGAGTTTCCATTTAATTTGCAACAACACTCAGTGAATGTATTGTGCCTTTCTTTATTTATTATTATGTTGCTATTTAAAACAATAGCAACCAAATTACAGCCAGCCAATAAAGTAGTCTATGTCGGGATGGTTTATACTTTGACCTCTTATAACTGTATTGATGATTATTCTTTGGTGAAATATAAGTAATGTTTATGTTGTTTGCAATTTTATTGTTGTATAACAATTAGTAGTCGTGCACCCACTCCCTCTCCTTCATATGCCATATGTTCATGATAAAGGTTCTCGATCGTAACTGCTAAATATGTCTTAAAGTTACGTGTTCTTTATGGATAGGTCCATACCTAAAAAACTGATTTCTTCACCACTGTAAAAACAGGTGAACTTAGTGTTGAGCCTTACCAAACATGTTAAACACTGCTTCATTCTTGAAGTGCCTCGTCTAAACCCTGAACCTGTAAATCAGTGGTTTGGGATTGTTGTTTTGGTTTGATGATTTTTTGCTTTTGTGCCTTGTGTAGTCTTAATCAGGCCATCGATTATATATAATGAATTATTTCACATTTTGTCATAAATACCCTAATATGACTTACTATACAGACTATATCGGCATGGGTTCTTGATCGTTATTGAAGGCTCCATAACTTTTTATAAATGAGAGAGGAAGAGACAATTACCCCATTGCTCATCCTCCCCCAGCACCTACGCCAGCGACAACGTGTGTTGTTTTGTTACTAGACTCAGTGTGACGTTTATATAGACGTTTTCTATTGACATGATTTCATGAACCATATGTAAGCATGTATGAACATTTTGTATGTGACGTATGATTGCTTTTTACGTATATCCTAAATCTCCTGAAACGTATGTATAGTTTTTTTACATATTTGAACTAATTGAATACAGAAAAACGATGTTCCAACATTCGTAAATATCAAATTAATTCACACAAAATTTTCATTACATAATATTTGGTTACTGATAAACTGGAAATAAACTCATCATAGATACCAGGATTGACTATTTGTATTTGCGCCAGACGCACGTTTCGTCTACAAAAGACTCATAAGTGACGCTCGAATAAAAAAAAAGTTAAAAAGGCGAGTGTTCTTTTGTATCTAGATAACTATACTGGTAATGTTGATGGTAAAGCTTATACGAACGGTCCTTCAAATTTGTCTTAATGACGTAATAGTATTATTGATGTAAGTAATATTTATACTAATGATGGTCAATCATTCAATCAATTGTGTTAGATGGAGATCGTCAATTTATTTCATAGATGTGAACTTCGTTGTTCAGTATGGTTTGCCTCCAGCATTGAATGATAGTATGTCTCTATGTAATGTTTCTAACATAAATTAATGAAACTTGCTTTTATTACAGCAACCAAAATCAAGTGTAAGACGACCTAATTTCAGGTCAAGTACTTTCAGCTAAGCTTTTCAGTAACAATAAGCATTCGTTAATGCATGTCACATCTGTAGGGTATAAGTTGTTACGTATGTTGATTTTTTCATATCTATCATAGAGTAATTTCAGAGTTGGACGTTGTTCCTGTACTGATTTTAATTATATGTTCTTTTACGTCCGTTTTGTTAGTCTACTTATCCAATTTGATATAGGAAGAGGTTTTGGATCTGACAAAAACTACTTTGAACCCGCGACATTTTCAGTCGCCCATCTCCAGTTAGGAAACGCGTCATTAACGGTTTGATGTAATATTTTAATAAGGTCAGGTTAAACGTTTTTCGTTATTTTGAAGAATTTTGATTTTGATGGTATAATTTTGATGATTTCTTTAAAATCTATTCCTTTGAAGAAGATTAAGAGGCTGAAATATTATTGAGTAATACGTCTATATTTGAAGACTGTATTGTGTCGTCGTCTTACACTTTAGTTTTTATTTCGATGAGTAGCTGTCTCGTTGTTATTTACTTATACTTCATATCTCCTTTGATTTTAATATAGTAATTTTTTTTTGCACTGAAAATGTCATTTGTAAGACATCAGTGAAATCTTTACTGAATTTCGTGCATCTGTACAATTATAATTTAAAATCCTACACATACAATATGGCATCATATAACATGTTAAACTTAAAATAAAAAGAGTATAAGATTAATCAAAACTTACATATCTTTTTTTCACAGTGAGCCTAATGTTCTAAATTCGAAGGTTCAACAATTGTGTATTGAATCACGCCATGGAAAATCGAATGTGAAAATTCCCAGGTGTCATTCAAACAATCTTTAGTTTCCAAATTATGTTACTTCCTTGTAAAGTATAAAATTTCTATTCGCATCAATGAAGATGATGAGATACATAAAGAAGTAACTAAAAATAAAAATTGAAAAGAAAAATACTTGATCTATATACATGGTATACCAAAAGTTTATTTTGTCAAATGTTAGAAATAGCAATAAAAATAAAATTGGGAGGTCAATATTAAACAAAAACCAATATTATTTGATCAATTTAGATAATCATTTCATGCATGATAAATGATAAATGCTTTTTTTTAAATCGAGTAGAAATAAACATTCATATATACTTTGCATCCAAAAAAGTGGTCAGAATATAACATTTTCACGACACATGTTTATATAATAACAATTGAGGAACATTGTTATATAATTACTATTTAGTTTTTTTTGGAGGTTATGACAATTTGTAATGTTTATTGAAAGAATACGGATTGCCACACTAGATGAAGTCCTAAATACGGTAGGAGTGGTCAAC